TGTACGGGTGACATAGACAATGTCGAACTCAGTGAGCAGGATTTGCCATTTTGCTAACCTTCCCGTGGGCATTGGTTTCTGGAATATGTACTTCAGAGGATCCATTCTAGTTATGAGATATGTGGTGTAGGCCAAAAGATAATGTCTGAGCTTCTGGGCGACCCAAGTTAGGGCGCCACAAGTTCTTTCCAACAAAGTATACTTGGCTTCATAAATGGTAAACTTCTTGCTCAAGTAGTATATGGCCTTCTCTCTCTTCCCGGTCACATCATGTTGCCCCAGGACACAGCCAAAGGAATTTTTCAAAACTGTCAGATACAAGAACAAAGGTCTTCCTGGCTCGGGTGGAACCAACACTGGCGAATTTGATAGATATTCTTTGATCTTATCAAAAGCTTCTTGACATTCATCTATCCATTTGATCACTGCATCTTTCTTCAGCAACTTAAATATGGGCTCACACGTGGTAGTAAGCTGAGCAATGAACCTGCTGATGTAATTCAATTTCCCTAGCAGAATCATGACCTCTTTCTTGGTTCTCGGAGGTGGCAAATTCCGAATAGACTTTATCTTTGTTGGATCTAACTCAATACCCCTCCGGCTGACTATAAATCCCAGAAGTTTCCCAGATGGAACTCTGAATGCACATTTGGCTGGATTCAATTTCAAATCATACCTGCGCAGACGCTCAAAGAACTTTCTTAGATCTTGCACATGGCCTTCTTATGTTCTGGATTTAATGATCACATCATCCACATACACCTCAATTTCCCGGTGCATCATGTCATGGAAGATGGCAGTCATGGCTCTCATATAAGTTGCCCCGGTATTTTTCAAACCGAATGGCATGACTCTGTAATAATAAGTGCCCCATGGCGTGGTGAAAGTCGTCTTTTCTGCGTCGTCCTCATCCATCAAAACCTGGTGATACCCAGTATAACAATCCACGAAAGACTGTATCTCATGTTTGGCACAGTTGTCAACAAGAATATGAATGTTTGGCAGTGGAAAGTTGTCCTTGGGACTTGCTTTGTTCAAATCCCGATAATCAACACACACTCAGGTTTTCCTATCTTTTTTTGGCACTGGGACCATATTAGCCAACCACGTGGTGTATCGGACCACCCGAATCACACCAGCTTTTAATTGTTTGGAGACTTCTTCTTTGATCTTATCACTGATTTCCGTTTTAAACTTTCTTTGCTTTTGTTGTACGGATGGGTAACCGGGATAAGTTGGTAATTTATGTACTACCAAATCAATGCTCAAACCTGGCATATCATCATGAGACCATGCAAACACATCCTTGAATTCAAACAAAAGTTGGATCAATACATCCCTAGTTCTTTCATAGGCGTGAATGCTTATCATGGTTTCTCGGATCTCTTCTGGACTGCCAAAATTAACTGGCTCGGTTTCATTTAAGTTTGGCTTAGGCTTATTCTCAAATTGTTCCAATTCTCGATTTATTTCCCTAAAAGCCTCATCTTCATCATATTCTGGATCTTGATTCATTATTTCACAGTTAGACATCGTTTTAGGATCTGGGCATGAAGTCCGCAAGCATGTCATGTTATTTAAGTCCGCATTATTAGAACTGAAAAGGAAAAGATAAGAAAAATAGCAAAATTAGAATAAAGAAAAAGGAAACATCCATTGATGATGAAATATTGATTTCATTTCATTGAATTGAAGATAAGAGGGTTTACATCAAAATCAAAAGACAATAAAATAAAAACATTCGAGTTACACCCTGAAATAACTCGTAATGTAGAAAAGATGGCAAGACTGGACTACCGGGATTCCCGCCTGATAGGGAATGGGGTAGCTTTCCAATTCTGAAGCTTGGCATTTGGCCCCATGTATAACACCTCAGCAGTGCTCGTTCCTTCCCCCGGCTGGACCATGTGGGACTCATACAACATTCGTTTCATGGCTTCACAAATATCCTCAATCTTTTCAGCTGTGAAGATCTCTTCTTCTTCTTCTTCTACATATTTGGGATCAATAAATGACTTGGTGAGATGCGGAACGGGCTGAGGCAGGACCCACCCATTTTTCTTGCGCTCATCAGCCCATTTTCTATCAGCCTCTGTAGCTCGAAAACCTACGCCGAAGAACTTCTCATTGGCGATTGACGTAACAGGCTCTATGATTCCTTGTAGATATACCCCGAGCCCCTTTCCGGGCTTATACCCATGTTTAATCATTTCAGTGGCGACCATGACCGAGGCATTAGATAAGCAAGGTTGAGGGAACGGGGCCCCTTCTTCGCATTGATCAGCGATCATAATTTCGAAGGCTTGGTAGACAATGTGCTCACTTCCTTCTCTAGCTTCGAGACATGGGACTGAAGGGTCCCTGTAAATTGACTGTTCATCCTCCCCGTGGACAACAATTTCTTGGTTTTCATGTTCAAATTTGACCATTTGATGAAGAGTGGAGGGCACAGCTCCTGCAGTGTGAATCCATGGTCTTCCTAGGAGAAAATTATATGAAGTATCCATGTCCAGAACCTGGAAAGTTACTTCGAAATCCATAGGGCCAATGGTTAAAATCAAATCAATTTTCCCTATTGTGTCTCGTTTGACACCATCAAAAGCGCGCACACATACATTGTTTGGTCGGATTCTTTCTGTTCTAATTTTCATCCTCTGGAGCATTGAAAGAGGGCAAATGTCGACCCTAGACCCACCATCTAGCATGACTCTCTTCATATAATAACCTCCGCGTTTGACAGTCAAGTGAAGGGCTTTGTTGTAGGCGGCTCCCTCTTGGGGCAGATCATCACGGCTGAAGGAAATCCTATTAACTTCAAAGAATTGTTCAGCCATTCTTTTCAGTTGTTCAACTAAAGTTTCAACCGGGACATATGCCTCGTTCAATGTTTTCAAGAGTACCTTCTGATGTTCATTTGAGCTAATAAAAAGAGATAAAAGTGAAACCTGGGAAGGAGTCTTCCTGAGCTGGTCAATTATTGCATATTTCGAAGTTTTCATTTTTCGGAAAAACTCTTCTGCTTCCTTAGAACTCACAGGCTTCTTAGGCGGAAACCGTTTATCCTTGCTCAGTTTTAACATCTTTTGCTCTTCTGGGTTATGGTACTTCCTAGGTTGGTTCATTTCGTTCACCTCCCCCATAATCTCTTTCCCCTTGTAAGTAACCATTGTTTTGCTATAATTCCAGGGGACTGCAGTGGGATCTCTCATAGGGCTCTGTGGTGCGCGGCTAATAACCACGGGCTCATTCAGCCTTGGTGAAATTACCGGCCCCAGCGCCACATAAGTCCCTTTTGGCACATACAACTTTGGCACATTTAGCGTGACTTTCCTCTGCTCAAATATTTTGGGAGTGTTCAACATGAGTTCTTCTTTCCTTGGGGCCCTAGGAACATAGAGAATTGTGTCCTTAGCAGGTGCTGCTGCAGTATTTGTTTCTGCAATTTGAGGAGTTAGAGTGATTTTTTTCTCATTTCTGGCTTGTTTCACTGCCGCTTTAGGTCTTGCCTCTGAATCGACAATGGCGATGATAGCTTTCAAAGCTGGATAAAACTCTTTATCATCACAAATTATTCCAATGACCGTCCCGTTGTTGTGAGTCGGTAATGGATTGTTAGTCACATTGGGGACTTCCTCGTCCCTCAGCACCACTCATTTTTGTTCTATCAAATTCTCAACGGCTCTCTTGAGAGTCCAACAATCCTCCGTATCATGACCCTCTGCCCCTGAATGATAGGCACACCTAGTACCGGGCCGGTGTGATGGAGATTCCGAATTTTGCCGGTTTGGACGCGCAAGTTGCAATAGACCCATCTGGACTAATTTTGGAAACAAGCTAGAGTAGGACTCACCAATATGGGTGAAGTCATTTCTCCTTTGAAGCTCACGAGGGCGTGTATTATATTGGTAATTGTTTTGTGGGGGACGAGGGTTATATGGAGCTTGGTAAGGATGGTTATTTCTGGGAGGTAGAGCTCGGTTTTGGTTGTAGTATTGTTGTGGCCGTGTATAAGGTTGGGCATTCATCACCGCATAGGGAGGCAGTGCCACGGCATATGCTGCATCTTGATGGGGGTAGTAGTGTTGTGGGGTTCTGGAAGGCAGGTAAGAATGATTGCGGGATCGATGGGGGCCTCTCAAACCTGAAGTCATTATGGCTCCTGCTTCCCTCTTCTTTCGATTTGCTTAACCTCCAGAGCCGTTCTGGATGGCTTGGGAGGTGGCTCTCAAAGCAGAATGACTTATGATTCAGCCAGTTTTCAAGCCATTTTCTACCATTTCTCCGATTTTTATGGCCTCTGCAAAAGGTTTGCCCATTGCAGACATCATGTTCTGAAAGTAATCGGCCTCTTGGGCCTGCAAGAAAATATTGACCATTTCTGCCTCATCCATAGGCGGTTTCACTCTGGATGCTTGCTCACGCCACTTGATAGCATATTCATGGAAGCTTTCCGCAGTTTTCTTCTTGAAATTGGTCAGAGAATTCCTATCTGGAGCTATATCAATATTGTATTGAAATTGCCTGACGAAATCTCGGGCCAAGTCATCCCATATATGCCAATGGGAGATGTCCTGATCTATGTACCATTCTGACGCAATTCCCGTCAAGCTCTCCCCGAAATAGGCCATCAAAAGTTCTTCTTTTCCACCTGCCCCTCTCAGCTGATTGCAATATCTTTTCAAATGAGCGATCGGGTCTCCGTGCCCATTGTACTTTTCGAATTTTGGCGTTTTAAAACGAACGGGCAAATGAACATGAGGAAACATACACAGATCAGAGTAGGAGACGCTCTTTTGGCCACCCAGGCCTTGCATGTTTTTCAGACCTTTTTCGAGGCTTTTCATCTTCCGAACCATCTCTTCTTTCTCGGGGTTTCTCATAGCTCTTTCCTGTTCCATAGGAGACTCAAACTGTGGGTGCTTAGGGTAAGAGTTTGGGGTAACAAGAGCGTTGTCTAGCTGAAATTACGGGACTTGAAAAGTGATAGCTGAAGGCTCGAAGCATGGCCTGGGAACTGTTGGTTATGCCGTAATAGAGACTGGTGGTGCGGTGAATAATGTAGAAGGTACCCCTGAAAACGGTGCCTGGGGGCGAACCTCAGAAGGCATACCAATGAAATTGGCCGATATAGCGGGGGTACCCAAACGGGATGAATGGGTTTGTTACGGGGATGGGGACATTAGAGATTCCACTCGTCCTAGGAAGCAGTTCAGGAAATCCGGGGATTATACTGGGCGGTTCTTTGCCATTAGACCAAGCGTCCCACATTTCTAACATGCGAACGTGCAGCCTCATATTTTTCTCAGTGGCCGCGGACTTTGACTATGGAATAGCCGATACAGGACTATCCTCACGCTCAATAATTGGTAGATGACTTTCAGAGGCCATAGGAACACTGCCTTTAGATCTCGTGAAGTAAGGATGAGAAGCCAGATTACCACAAAACCAACCATCTAAACAAGACCTTTGATATTTGCACACACAACAACCTGGTTAGTTTGAGATATTTAACAGATAAGGAATCGCATATTGGGGATACAATGCACTTGAATAATTAAATGTTTCTAAATGTCTTTGCAACGGCTGTATGTTTTATCCCGGTTTTACTATCTCTTTTCTCAAATTTTGAATCCTTATTTCTTTTTCCTTCCCTTATTGCTGTTTTTGCTCTTTTATTTTTCACTCTTTTTTTCTTTCTTGTTCACTCAATTTTCCTTCTTTTTCTCTCTTTTTCTTTATTTTTCACTCAGATTATCTATAGCTACGATCGAATCCGATGGAGATTGCCTACGTATCATGACGCTGCATGAATCAGATCATTACGTAGTTCAGGAAATAAATGCAGAATAAAAGAAAAGAAAATTTTGGTTTTTGGTTTTTTTTCAACATTTCATTAAATAAAATCTTTTTGGGTTTTTCTATTAAAAAGATTTTGGAAATACTGATAATTAAACATACATACTCAAAAAAAAAAAAAACAGACCCGAAAAGGTAAAAAATACAAACTCAAAGCCAAAAATAATAAATAAAAAAAATCAGGAATACATAAGAGCCTCTAATACTACTCCGGGGCCCCGTGGTACATCAGTCGGTCTCGACGTGGGCCTGCGTGCAATCTCTTCTTGAAGGTACTCTAAATCATCCATCACATGAAGGACAAAAGTCATCACAGAAGTAAAGAACATAGACCTGGTCATATCTTCGCATTCATGGCATTTCATTACGACGTAATCAATGATTTCTTTAATCCTCATTCTAATGACGCCCTTTTCTTGGAGCAAGCGTCCAATTTGCTGACACCGGGCCTCCAATACTTGTGTGGCCGTATGGTTTTGGTCTTGCAATTGTTGTATGACTTCTTTCAATCGGAAAATCGATTTATAGCAATGCTCTCTTTCAGCTTTGAAATCCTTTGTCTGTTGGACCATTTTATTTTCGAGATTAGTCAGCTTTTCCCTTAAGATCGCGACCCCTCTATCATAATTTTGCTTTAAATGCTGAACACACCTTGCCCGTTCTTCTGCATTATTCGCCAATTTTGCCTGAGCTTTTGCCAATTCATCCTCGGCCTTTGTCAAATCAAACCCATAATCATGAACTTTCCGTCTCAGATTGCTTATGAGTCTTTCATTTTTTTCCGGGTTTTCAACAACTATTTTCATTTTCTGAATCTGAGCTCGGAGGGCTTCATTTTCTCGGGCCAACCTTTTCT